AGACATGAAGATATATAAATGTCAAAAATATATTGTTTTGTTTTCGTTTTAGATGGATATAATTTGATCTATAAAATTTATAAGATGTCTTCTGAAATTAGAATGTATATTCTATACACTTTACATGTTCTACAAAATTTAGAAGTCATTTCTGTTCTACGGTATTTAGAATACTAGTTTCTACGACTTTTAGAATACATATTCTATACTTTGTTCTTTGTTCTACAAAAATTAGAAATATGTTTTCTAATATTTACTCATGTTCTAAGAATGTTATAAAACATATTCTTAAGATTTTTTGTATTCTATAAAAATTAGAAAGTACATTCTATCTAATTTAGATTTTAAAAAGAAAATCTTAAAATAAAGAAATTGAATATAGTGAATTTGATTACATCTGCAAATTACAGAAGTTAAATTCTGAATACTTTAAAATTCTTTATACCTAAGTGAATAGATTATAACACAAATTAGAATTTTTCTTTATACTTCACACTTTTTCCTATAGATTACGCTTAATTTCTTGTCTCAAAACCCGGAAAATTAGTTGAATTTTGAATACTTTAAAATTCTTTATACCTAAGTGAATCAAAACCCGGAAAATTAGTTGAATTTTGAATACTTAAAAATTCTTTATACCTAAGTGAATAAATTATAACACAAATTAGAAATTTTCTTTATACTTAACACTTTTTCCTATAGATTACGCTTAATTTCTTGTTTCAAAACCCGAAAAATTATAGTTGCGCTCCATAAAGAAATTGAAATCAAGGGAGAGAGATAGAGAGAGAGATTGAAGAAGAAGAAGAAAAAAACAATTATTTAATATGGTATTATTAGAGAGGAGAGAACAATTACGAAAGCTTAATTTTGATGAGCAAGAGAATCAAAGAAGAAGAAGATATGAAATTATCTACGGCAAAACAAATAATGGAATGTAAATAAATGTTGATTTTGTCCTATATTTTTTCCAAATTGTTTTTAGAAAGAAATCAATTTAATTTTGAATTTTTTTAATAGTTTAGTAAGAATTTAAAAGACTGGGGGCATATTGGGATTTTAATTATATGAAATCATATATGACCAATATTAAAGTATATATGACCAATCATGAATATAGAATGCATAGATGGACAATAATTTAATTATTTGTCTTTTATTTCTAATTTTCCCTTAGACCATCCGCAGTGGTGTAAGTGTGAGGGAGGGGTGTAAGATTTTTTTTATTATTATAATTTAAAGTGAGAGAGAAAAGAGAGAGAGAAAGAAAGAGAGAGCGAGAGATAGAGTATCTTACATCCGAGTGTAAACTTACACCCGAGTGTGAAGAAAGAGATAACTTTTACATTATTTCTGTATTTTAAAATAGATACACCCCATATAAGGATGCACCGCTGCGTTTGCTCTTATATTTTTAGGGTTTGACTCAGTCGCTTCACATAATCAAACCATCTATGACTAAAGCAATAATCAAATATTTTGGCTAATAAATGTCAATGCCACTTGCATATTGTGATTAATGTCTTTAATTATAAAAATGAAGTAGTTTGAAAATTCTCGTCCGGTGGCACATCATGTGAGTTTTCACATCATGTGTGCAGTCTCACACGTCGTGGATTAAATGTCGCGAGAGATACTAGAAAAAACAAAACATATAGTTAGTTTTTTCCTCTTTTCATAATAACATTTATACTGCAATTTTATATATGGATGGTAAGTGACCAACTTGTCACCACCGATTCCAATTTTGGGCGTGACAAAGTGGTAACTTAGTGATGAAACTATCGCTATCTTTTGGTCAAGTAAAAAAGTAAAGAAGAATAGCAACAAGTTTAAAATATATAGTTACTCACACACATTATTAGATTTGAATACGGGTTATATAACAACATTGCACATTGACAACTTATAGTACAAATCAGTAAAATATATATATATATATATATATATATATATATATATATATATATATATATATATATATATATATATATATCACGGTCAAATTTCAAAGAGTAAATCCTCCAAATTTACGTTAAACATATTTATAATATGCATATACTCAGAGTTACGTTTCTCGATCACAATAAGTGTGTTATTTGACAATTTCAAAGCTTTCCAGGTCAGAGTCAATTGAAGACATACAAAATAGAACTCTTACGGTCCAACGTTAAGAAAATGATACAGAAATGACGTGAAAACGAAGGTTTTTGTCTGAGTCAATGATTAAAATTTGTATATGGCAATACCAAATTATTATATAAAAAGGCATGCTCTTCATGAACAATCCCTAAGGCTAATACCAAACAATCAGAGCTCTATAAACTCATTCTTGCCTTGTGTCTTAAGTCATCCTCCTTTAACAAAATGGAAAACGCTTCGACCGTGAGATTCTCTAGCTGTCGAGGAGTTGCGTTTGAGATTAAACCTCATGCAAACCCTTTTGCTGTCGTTACAACTGATCAAAACCGCTACGCAAACGCTGAACGCGAGGGAACGAGCAGCAGGTTTCGACTTCCATGGGATTTCATGAGAAACGCCTCAAAAGTTTTCCCTACATCGATTCAACACTCCATGAGCCGAGCAAGCAGTCATTTCTGCGATTTGGACTCTGACAACGAGGAAGAAGAAGAAAAAGATGATATTTTCTACTTAGAAGAAGGTGGGATCAAAGAAGGAAACGAAGAACACAGTGAGACGGACGAGAAGGCAATCCTTGCTTCTTCCGCAAGCAAACACAGTGAGAAACCGCAGCAACCACCGGTTCCAAAGAAACGCGCTTCAAGACTATCCATCATACTTCTTGATCAAGGATTGTTCACCGTTTACAAACGTCTCTTCGTCCTTTCATTGTTTCTGAACGTCCTAGCCCTCGTTCTCGCGGCCACGGGAAATTTCGTTTACGCTAGAAACAGAGCAGCTCTGTTTTCTATCGCCAACATTCTTGCCCTAACTCTCTGCAGAAGCGAAGCATTCTTGAGAATCGTTTTCTACCTAACCGTAAAACTCCTCGGAAACTCCGTTGTCCCTCTCCGCATCAAAATCGCGGTCACATCGCTTTTGCAAAGCCTCGGTGGTATCCACAGTGGCTGCGGCATTTCCTCCATCGCTTGGCTCATCTACGCATTGGTTCTCACTCTTAAAGACAGAGACAACACTTCAACAGCGATCATAGTGGTTGCATCCACGATTCTCTCTCTTCTCTGCCTCACTTCTGCAGCCGCGTTCCCTCTTGTTCGCCATTTACACCACAACGTCTTTGAAAGGGTCCACAGATTCGCCGGATGGACTGCTTTAGGCCTTGTTTGGGCGTTTATAATTCTAACGATTTCCTACGATCCAAAATCAAGATCATACACAGATAATCTTGGCTCGAAACTGATCAAAACGCAAGAATTTTGGTTTACGTTAACTATCACAGTGGCGATTCTGCTCCCTTGGTTAACTGTGAGACGCGTTCCAGTTGACGTCTCATCTCTCTCGGGCCACGCCTCGCTGATCAAATTCAGAGGAGGCGTGAAAGCAGGGATCTTGGGTCGGATCAGTCCATCGCCATTATCGGAATGGCATGCTTTTGGGATAATCTCCGATGGGAAGACATCGCACATGATGTTAGCCGGTGCTGTCGGCGACTTCACCAAGTCCTTAGTCTCAAAACCTCCAACGCATTTATGGGTCCGTACAGTTAACTTTGCCGGCTTACCCTACCTCGTTAACTTGTATGACAAGGTAAATAAAACTCCCTAAATCTTAGGGTTTTACTACTAACAGATTTTAACAGTTTGTTGAATATTTTGACTGCTACTAAACTAAAAATATTTCTTCTTTTTTTCACTACAGGTATTACTTGTGGCCACTGGTTCGGGGATTTGCGTATTTTTATCGTTTCTAATGCAACAGAGTAAGGCTGAGGTATATTTGATATGGGTGGCTAAAGGATTAGATGATAATTTCGGGTCGGAGATTGTGAATAGGATTAAAGATTATCCTCATCAAGACAGGATCATAGTTCACGATACTGCGATTCTAGGACGACCTAATGTGTCGGAAATGAGCGTGGAAGCTTCCAAGAAGTTTGGTGCTCAAGTTGTGATTGTTACAAGCAATCCTGAAGGAAGTCGTGATGTTGTTAATGCTTGTAAGGCTTCTGGTGTTCCTGCTTTTGGTCCTATTTGGGATTCTTAAATTACTTTTTTTTTTTGGTTATTTAATTTCTCTGATTTTTATTCTTTGTCTGTTAGTATTTAAGAATGATGTAAACTTTAATTGTATATTTTTTGTAATAAATGAAATCTTATCAAGAGTTATGATGAGTTAATAAGATAAGACCTATTCGTGTGTGATGATAATGAGTTTGTTAGCTTACACCCAAAAGAATTAAATAGCGTTGAGCCAAACTATGAAAGACGCCAAATTTCAATTTTGTACTATAAAAAAAGAAGATTATGAAGATGTTTGACTTTGATGACTTCTACTTCTAAACAAAACAGTGCGACTTTGACTTCTCAGATCTCATTATATATACAAGATTTGATCAATTTTAAATTCATGAGATCTGAGCTATTAAATCTTATGGTCAAAACAAGATACTATACATTACAATAACTTAAATGGGTTTGATCCTTTTTTTTGTCAACTGGTTTGATATTTATAATTTAAGTATAAGAAAATAATTACTACCATACATAAAACTAAGATGTTGGTCAATGTTATGGTGATACTTGTGTATTTTAACCAATATATATACATTAAGTAATATATTTAGATTTTATTCTAGTTGAATTCTTGATTCTGTAGTTTTTATGAAAATATTGCTCTATTTATTCGACAATTATATTTTCTTTACCATTCATATTTGTTTTATCGAATCCTATAGATTCTTATAAATTAAACCATTACGAGGAATAACCAACCAATTGTCAATCTTTCTAAATTTAGAAACAGAATTTGTTATTTTCATATAAATTTTATTGGTTTCTAAAATAAAAGATATATGTAGTACAAAAACACTTTTGTATATTTATGTATTTATAATTATCAAATATTTTGCAAGTACAAAAACACTTTTGTTAAATGCTACAAAATGTTAAATCTACTGTGGTCCATTAAACACATAAATACACTGATTTTTTTCCAAGTAAAACAAAATTTATGTACCAAATAATGGTATACAATGGACCGACCACAAAGCACTCACCACTCAACAAGGAAAATAATCCGGTTTGGTTCGGTTTACTTAAACCGCTCAGGTTTTAATACGGATCGACCCAACATCTATCATCTCTCACAGCTTTCTTCCAACGTTCCTTGAATCTCTTCATCTCTACAAATGATTTCATCCTAACTTCTGGTCTATTGTCCACTTCACGAGACTCTGATGATTCCTGTGAAATCTCAACCAAAAGATTTGATACATTCATAAAACATTAACTGCTTCAAGAAACATATTGAAAACACTAGTAGAGCGTACCGTTGATTTCGGGTCTGTCTCGTTCCGCAAAGAGCTTGAAGCTGTTTCAACCACACCTAGCGTAGGAAGACCGTAATGAATAATGTACTCCGCATCAACAACGCCAACATTTTTCTTTCGATCACCCTATCCACAAGCAAGAGTACATGCTAATAAGAATCACGCACAATTGAAAAAATGAAGGCTTATCAAAAACCAATTTAGAAAAAAAAAAAAAAAAAAAAAGAGGAGTTCAAAGAAAAAACCAACTTGAGCACAATAACCAAGCTGCGTATCCAGACCCCAAGCATGGATCAAATCATTCTGCAACGAAAACGAAAACATTAAACCCCCAAAGACAAACCGAATTCTATCGAACAAAAAACGAATGCCGATATATATATATATATACAAATGTTACCTGAATCATATACCAAGAACATCTCCATGCTGCTCTAGAGAAAACAGGTGCCATCATTTCTACCCAGCTGCGGATCCAAGTTACATGTTAACCGGGAAAATGAGGTAGAAAGAGAGTTCCGAGAACATTTGCGAAAAGCGTTTACCCGATGCAGGGAGGATTGGTGCTATGGTCATCACATCGCCCGCTACCTTTGTATTTATACATCCTTCTATGAAATTTTGATTTTTTTCGACGAGCGGTTATAGGATGATGCACTTCTGATTTTGAAGTGTCGAGAGCGGGTTGTGATATCTGAAGCCCCTCTTCTTTGACAATAGATAGGTATCTAAAATAAAAATGATTTCATCATGGACATGAAAAATGAGGAAAATAATAATATAAACAAACCCTAAATTTGGCGGATTACCGTTGCGGATTGAAATGACCTACACCAAGATCTTCGTCCCAAAGAAATATATACTCATACTCTACAACTATATCAGGATGCAAAAATCGCTTGGCGAACCACCTGTGACATTAACATTCAACTATTAGATAATATATGATGGTTGACGAAAATAATAGCAAGAATTTCAAGAAACTGACCATTTTGTTTGATTCATCACCGAAACATGAATCGCATGCTCATTCCATGGATACTGCTTCCAATCGTCAACAACACCATCATAATGAAAAAGCATGACCGCGAAATCTCGAGGAGGAAACTGAAATCACGGCAATTTTTATCATCGATTGACACAAAAAGGCGAAAATCTTACAAATAGAAACAAGAAAAAAGACAAGACAAAACCTTTTGGATAACTTTGTTAACTAGCTCCTTTTGCTTGATTCCGACTGCCATGGCTAACAAACTCATCGAATGGTTCGGCCTTCTCTAAAAGAAATATACAACGAAAGGTTAAGCTACACGAAAGAAAAAGAATCCGTGAAATTTTACAAATCTTTGAGGAATCTTGTAAATACTTAAGAACCTTTTTTGTGTCATCGTAGTTCCATAGATGTTGTGTTTCCAGGTTCGATGTTTTGGCGATAATTCCTTGCGGTAATGCTTCAGTACCCACTGGCTTATTCAAATTCTAGTGAAAGATATATATTTGTAAGTTTAATATCAAAGAATCTCATAAAACAACCTCAAAGAATACTTCGAAGACAAACCTGGCATGTACTGGTTGATGTTGCATTCTGCATCTTATCAGTGATGTTATGCATCTTATCAGTGATTTCCCACTTTAGCAATTTCTGTAAATGTTTATAATCTTATACATCAAAATCCGAATTTTATTGTGTTAATAGACTTATTGATCTATCGTTGACTATAAAACCAGAACTATTCAACAATTTCATGTTATTCCCATGTCGGAAAAACATTACTGATTACACAACAAAAAAAAAAGCTGAACAATCCAACCAATATGACAGCATCATAGAGCATATATAGATCTTAAGTGATGTCAAACACAAAAGAGATTTCACCTCTTTAAAGTCTTTAGCAAGATAAGCATTGCCAATGAAGTAAGCACCACAAATCAGAGCAGTGGTGATTAAGACACTGCAGAGACACGATCTATTCATTGAACCCTGCAATTTAGAGGATTGATAATGAGGCTTCTTCAGAGAAGAAAAACAAAGAACAGAGCATAGAACAGCGGCTTCAAATCATGTGCATATGATTCAATAGGACAATGAGGTCAATTTGGAAAAGATGATAATTGACAGAGATTTTGTAGATTTTCCTCTATGTTTCCAATGTATATGCACATGAGGAGAAGATATTGCCAAACAAGTCCTAAATTATCTAAGAAGAAATGATAACCAATTTAATTCCATCATCGTCAACAATTAACCAAACCAGAGAGACAAAAATTGGATTTAGGAATTCAGTAAAAATGATAGAAAGGAAGAAGAAAAGCTTTATTCACCTGTTTCATGAATTAGGTGATTTTGATTTTGATATCTCTGTTTCTGCCTTTTGGGTTTCTCTGAAGTTTGAACCTTTTTTTCCTTCCCTCAAAAAGGTTTCTTTTGTGACAGAGAATAAACCCTTTTCGAGAGAGAAGAGGAAGAGACCAAAGTAGAAGAAGATGAAGAAACGAATATATCCCGAACTTGGTCGTTTTAAATTCTCTTCTCAAATTTCGAAGCTTTAAAAAATAAAGATTCTGTTTTCCTTGTGTGAGTTTCGTTAAACAATGAAAAACCCACCAAGTCTAAGAGAAGCTTTTAGCTCAGTGGCTTCATAAAATCCAGAAACGGAAGTGATAAATTTAAGCTGAGAGATGTGAAAAAGATGAACACTTTAAGAAACGGAATCTAAGGAATTGATGAAGAAGATTGAAGTCAGAGAGACACGTTTCTGAGATCGTGTAGCAATTTCAAGGGTTTTGAGACAAATACAGAGAGGAAAGTGGTAAGTGGTGAGACACGTGTTTTATTTTAATTGGATATTTATTTCATTTTTAAGTCGTGTGTGTATATTTGTCTCAATTTGAAACCGACCGAGATATTATTTGTTGTCGTCATTAATTTCAAGATCAGATAAAAATTTAAAAACTTTTAATTCTCTTTACAAAAAATAAAAAAGGGAACTTTATCTGAATCTTATTCTCTTTTCCGGCGGGAGATTTTTGTGAAGCTTCTTCTCTATCTCCATCGCCGATGTTTTCGTTATCGTTAATTCAACCGCGTCTCCGTATTTCGGAGATTCCGGTAACGCAAACCTTCAAATCACCGACGATATGTTACAGTAGCGATTCAAGAACTAAGCGAGAGGAACAGAGACACGGGAGATTGTCTGGGTTTCGACTAGTTTCTGGAAAGAGATCATCTTTCGATTTGGGTTTTAGTGATTTACAAGGAGAGAATGTGAATCGCGATGATTTATCTTCTTTCGATAGCGAACGAGTGGATTATGCTCTGTTAGCGGAGTGGCTACAGTCTTCTAATGGGATGCGACTTATTAAAAGGATTCATGCGATGGCGTTGAAGTGTTTTGATGATCAAGTTATCTATTTTGGGAATAATTTGATTAGTTCTTGTGTGAGACTTGGGGATTTGGTTTATGCACGTAAAGTGTTCGATAGTATGCCTGACAGAAATACTGTTACTTGGACTGCTATGATTGATGGGTATTTGAAGTTTGGTCTTGAGGATGAGGCTTTTTCACTGTTTGAGGATTATGTGAAGCATGGAATACGTTTTACGAACGAGAGGATGTTTGTGTGTTTGTTGAATCTGTGTAGTAGGAGATCAGAGTTTGAGCTTGGGAGACAGGTACATGGTAATATGGTGAAAGTTGGAGTGGGAAATCTCATTGTGGAGAGTTCTCTTGTTTATTTTTATGCGCAATGCGGTGAATTGACAAGTGCGTTACGAGCTTTTGATATGATGGAGGAGAAAGATGTGATATCTTGGACAGCGGTTATTTCGGCTTGTTCAAGGAAAGGGCATGGGAATAAAGCCATTTTCATGTTTATTGGAATGCTAAATCACGGGTTTTTACCTAACGAGTTTACGGTATGCAGTATTTTGAAGGCTTGTAGTGAGGAGAAAGCGATAAGATTCGGAAGGCAAGTACACAGCTTGGTGGTTAAAAGGATGATTAAGACAGATGTTTTCGTAGGAACTTCGCTGATGGACATGTATGCTAAATGCGGGGAGATTTCTGATTGCAGAAAAGTGTTTGATGGAATGAGCAATAGAAACACGGTCACATGGACTTCGATTATAGCTGCACATGCTCGGGAAGGTTTTGGTGAGGAAGCTATCAGCCTCTTTCGGGTAATGAAGAGGCGGCATTTGATTGCTAACAATTTGACAGTAGTAAGCATCCTTAGAGCGTGTGGATCTGTTGGGGCTTTATTGTTAGGGAAGGAACTTCATGCTCAGATAATCAAGAATTCGATAGAAAAGAATGTCTACATAGGAAGTACTTTGGTTTGGCTATATTGTAAATGCGGAGAATCTCGTGACGCTTTCAATGTTCTCCAGCAATTGCCATCTAGAGATGTGGTTTCATGGACCGCTATGATCTCTGGATGTTCGAGCTTAGGACACGAATCAGAAGCGCTAGACTTCTTGAAAGAGATGATTCAAGAAGGTGTAGAGCCAAATCCATTTACGTACTCCTCGGCTTTAAAAGCCTGTGCGAATTCAGAATCTCTTCTAATCGGCAGATCAATCCATTCCATTGCAAAGAAGAATCATGCTCTATCAAATGTCTTTGTGGGAAGTGCTTTGATTCATATGTATGCAAAATGTGGATTTGTCTCAGAAGCTTTTCGGGTTTTCGACAGTATGCCTGAGAAGAACTTGGTTTCATGGAAGGCGATGATAATGGGTTATGCGAGGAATGGGTTTTGCAGGGAAGCATTGAAGCTAATGTATAGAATGGAGGCAGAGGGATTTGAGGTGGATGATTATATATTTGCAACAATTCTCTCTACTTGTGGAGATATTGAGCTCGATGAAGCTGAACCTTCTGCAACTTGTTACTTGGAGACCTCTTGATCTTTCTTCTTTAGAATCTCTTTTTTCAAGTTCTTTCTTATATGATAAAGTTTATGAAAAAGATGCGTTCCACAATAGCACCAAATGTACAAATTTAATGTCGAGGATACAAAGATTCGAAGATTTCATCTTTGCAATTAGCCAACGCACAGATTTTTTTTTTTACATCAGAAAATACAAAGTGTAATGAATATGAATAAACCACATGGTGAATTCTATAATAGAAAATCTATAGGAGAGAAATAAAAAGATATCCAAGTTGGGAAATAAAAAAAGATTCTATCACAAGTAAAAAAGAAAATAAAACATGAACTGAACAAAATGAAAGCCACAGTATGATAGAATCAAAAAGATAAATTAGAAAAGAAAAAAAAAACTGTTATTATTGGTGTCAAATTAAATATGTTTAAAAAAACAGAAGATTGTGGAAGCCCTCTTGGACCATTGGTTGACTAAGGGTTAATTAATGCTTTTACACCAAGAGGTCTGGGGTTCGAGTCCCAGGAGATCTCCAGCGAAGTACAATTATAGCCGTTCGTCATGATTCTACGCAGAGAGGGAAGTGTCGTCAGGTCGTGGATCATTGAAGGTGTCCGTCAAGAGCATGGAGAAGGAAGTGTCGTCAATTCTCATAATTTGCAATAAATAATAAATCTAGACGTCAAAAAAAAAAAAAAAAAAAAAAAAAACAGAAGATGGAGTATTATTATGTTGTCATTAATAGTTTTTAATGATGTCTTAATAATTTTTTTTTTATACATTATTCATAATCCTCTTTCAATGTTGAACCTAGTTTTCAATGGGCTCTTTCAAAATTAATATATGGGCCTTAGTGACATATTTCCATTTAGCTCGAATGAATATTTTTGAGTCGTTTGATTTGACGTGACGACTAAAATAAAAGATTCAGTTGAGGTGCCAATAAAGTGAGAAATTAAATTAAAATATAAGTATATTATAAGGTTGGATCTTTTTTACTAATAATTTGAACGCACTAAGCCACTATGTAACTAAGTAATAGTATTTAATCAATCTTCTAAGTTGAATCTTTAAACAAACAATTTTTAATGATAATAATATGCTATATATAGACTATATATAGTAGATGATCAAATTTTTAAAGGAAGTCCCTTTACTCTTTTTCAAAAAGTATTTACATTTTCAATTTATATAATGATCATTTCTTTCTTCAATTAGAATGCACACTATAGGTCCCCACTTTGGCACAATGAACCGATTTGCTGCCTCTTGTTTATGGCCTTTTGATGTTTATATTCTCATCCTAATTAAAGCTTGATTCTTCCCATCTTAATTAATGCTTAGATAATCTTATGTGCCGGGTAAGTCCCTTTGAATTTGTGTTGATTATTGACTATTTCGATTCGTATCTATACTAGTTAATAGACCAAAATTTTATATTATCAACTACCTGCCCCTTCATAGTACTTACTGTCTTATTCTATTGTGAAAACATTTTGTCTTTTAAATGAATATAAATGCGTAAACTACTTATTATATCCCTATTTTTTATGTTATGCCTTATTTTTAGTATGATTGTACATACAAGTTTATACCCTATAAAGTATATACTATAAAGGTGCCTACTAATCTTTGTGCTTAGTTATATATTAATATATTTGATTTTTGTTTAAAAATCAAAACTAAAGCTATACAAATTGATGTCAAAACTATCATTTTATATACTTTATATATAATATTAATTTTAAAAAATGGTAAGATTATATACAAAAGAATTAGGGCATATTATTAGGGATAACAATATCTCACATTGAAAAACACAAATAATCTTGACTAGTATATTAGATATATGTCAATTCACTCAATACTAATTGGTTTTGAGTTGTAAACTCTTTTTAATAATTTAACTAGGATCGGACCCGCGGTCCACCGCGGGAGAATATTGATTTACATACGTTGATTTTAATATTGTGCATGTTTTTAATAGAACGAATCGTGTAGTGTACTTATAAATATTCCTAATAACAAATTGTAAAGAAAATATTAAATTGTTTATAATTAAACCAATCATATTAAATATGATTTACAAAATGGAATTTTGTGTTTTAGAATTCAAAAATTAGATGAATCATGTGAATTAAAGCAGTCAAAATAGGTCCAAAACCGCGGGTCGAGCCCAAATCATCTCACTATTGAGCAGATTTGGGAAAATATATTAAACCTGCAAATAAGCGGACCACATGGATTGATTCGCAGTGAGTCATCGGTTTTCATCCGCGGGTTGGCGGATCAACCCGCGTGATAGTATTTATTGATAACAATATAATTTATTCAACATGTGGTAGTTTAAAAAACTTTTAATAAATGAAATTATAATATTTATAAATATAATGATATATAGATTATAATCTCTAAATTTTTTCTAATTTATTTATTTCTTTAAATTTTGGTTACTCTAAAATTATTTAAACAAAATCGACGGATAACCCCGCAAATCAGCATACATTCGCGCGACGGGTTTGTGTTTCATATATGCTACCCGCGGGTCGTGCGGACAGACTAACTACATGCCAAAATATATTTTGCCTATTGCAAAACAGGCTTAACGGGATGAATCAACTCGTTTTGACAGCTCTAATGGAAATATTATTTAGTCATACAACACAATGGAGTTTGGACATAGGAATAATAGAATATGTATCTTATTTGTTAGATGAGAGATTGAAAGGTGAAATATAATGATTAAAAAATAATTAATATTTTTCATGATTCACAAAATTTAATAAATATTTATCATCTTGTTGAATAATTCTAAAAATCAT